CAAGCTACTATTGTTTTTGTTGGTTTGGTTGGGGAATTTGTTCTTGCTGTTTTACACTTTGTTTAGTCTTTGTTGTGGTTGAGGTTCATTGTTTGTTTGTTTGAGACTATGTTTCACTATGTAGCCCAGACTGGCTTAAAATTTGCAATCCTAGTGCTGGGATTACACACATGCCTACCACTCTATGCTCAAGGCCTTGAATTTAATAACCAAACATCAGTCTGGTGCCTTTCATTTTTCCTCTAGTGCTGGGGGTGGAACCCAAGGCCTTGCCCATGGTAAGCAAGCAAGTCTACCACTGAGCTACAGCCCCCGGCCCCAGTATCGTTCTTTTGACCACTGGAATCTCCCTCCCCATGACCAATCAGGCCTAACCCTGGACATTTCATATTTGGCCTACATCTGGATGAGAGGCAGGTTACAGTTTCCCAAACCCCACCCTTGGACACCCGCCCTGGGGAGGTGTGGCAGAGACACCCAACCAGAATTTCCAGCTTGCACAACCTGAGCAAACCTGTGGGCAGAGTACAACAGCTTGTCCCATGCATGAGTCAGCTCTGACCCAGTCTTTGACCCCCATGAGATTGAACCATACCCCCTGGCCTCTTTCGAGCACTCCCTTCTGAAGTGAGTCAGCACATCCCACCCTCTTCGGTGCAGCCAGGGCTCCACAAGGCAGGAGCCCAGGTACCCCCCGGCCCTTCAACCCCACATAAGACAAATCGAACAACCCATGGGACTGTAGGCTCTGTGACTACAGCAGGGAATATACACACACTGCCCCATAAAGAAGATTGCTGCATACGGGTCAAGGAGCAAAGTCCTGTCATAGGAGGAGTGGAGACAGGCATTTACAGAGACTACACGGAGGCAAAAAGCCAGTGCCCAAAGGAATCACTAACCAGAGCTAGTGCCATGGACATTGTGATCCGACTCCTGCAGCTGCTGGTGCTGCTCCTGACCCTGCCCCTACACCTCATGGCCCTGCTGGGCTTCTGGCAGCACCTATGTGAAACTTACTTCCCCTACCTGATGGTCAAGCTGGCTGCCAGTACTAATCGCAGGATGGAGAGCAAGAAACGGGAGTTCTTCCACCAGATAAAGAGACTTATGGAAACCTCTGGGAAAGTAACCCTGTTGGAGCTGGGCTGTGGTACAGGTGCCAACTTCCAGTTCTACCCACCTGGCTGCAAGGTCACCTGCCTAGATCCCAACCCCAACTTCAAGAAGTTCCTGGCAAAGAGCATGGCGGAGAACAGGCACCTCCAGTATGAGCAGTTCGTCGTGGCTTATGGAGAGGACATGAAACAGCTGGCCGATGACTCCATGGATGTAGTGGTCTGCACACTAGTCCTGTGCTCTGTGCAGAACCCAAAGAAAGTCCTGCAAGAAGTCCAGAGAGTTCTAAGGCCGGTAAGTGGCAGGGGGGAGAGGGGAGGGTACAGGCCTAAAGTAGACAAACCTGGCATTGGCCACCCCAAAGTTCAGGGCTTCCCACTCCCCACTCGACAGGGAAGTTAGCACATTAGACTCCCACAATGTCTACCTGCCTGTTTGTGCTTAGCCATACCCAGATCCTGGGGAAACACACAGAAACATCACCTAATGCTGGAGTAGGGAAACTGGGAAGGACACTTAAGGAAATTAAGTTGACTTGAGATCCGAGGGCCAGGGGAATGGCTCAGTAAGAGCATTTGTCTACAAGCCTGAGGCCATGAGTTCAAACTCCAGTAGTGCCACCAAAAGAAAAAATTAAAAGATATTTAAATTGAGCTCTAGAGGACTAAGCAAGCTGAGTAGTGGTGGCTCAGGCCTGTAATCTCACTACTCTGGAGATGGAGATCTGAGGATCACAGTTCAAAACTAGCCTGGGGAAACAAGTTGAAAAGACTCTTATCTCCAATTAACCATCAAAAAGCCGGAAGCGGAACTGTGGCTTAAATGATAGAGCAAAAAAGCTAAAGGAGAGTGCCCAGACCTTGAGTTCAAGCCCCATTAATGGCAAAAGAAAGAAAAGAAAGGGAGGGAGGAAGGAAGAAAGGAAGGAAGGAAGGAAGGAAGGAAGGAAGGAAGGAAGGAAGAAGGAAGGAAGGAAGGAAGGAAGGAAGGAAGGAAGGAAGGAAGGAAGGAAGGAAGGAAGGAAGGAAGGAAGGAAGGAAGGAGAAGAAAAGAGAAGAGAAGAGAAGGACTAAGCAGGGTGCAGAGGGGATGGGAGAAAAGTCAAGGTGTTCCTAGAGTTGGTGAGACTCTTATCTCCAGTAAACTATAGCAGAAATTGCCAAAAGTGTGCTTCAGCTCAAATGGTAGAGCACTAGCCTTAAGCAAAAGATGCTCAGTCAGGGGCTGGGAAGGTGGCTCAGTGGTAGAGCACATGCCTTGCATGCCAGAGGCCCTGGGTTTGATTCCTCAGCACCACATAAGCAAAAAGAAAAAAAAAAAAAAAAAAGCCGAAAGTGGTGCTGTGGCTTAAGTGGTAGAGCGCTAGCCTTGAGCTGAAGAGCTGAGGGACAGCGCCCAGGCCCAGAGTTCAGGCCCCATGACCAGACCCCCCAAAAAAAAAAAAGATGCTCAGTCAGGGACAGCACCCATGCCCTGAGTTCAAACCCCAGTCTTAGTAAAAATAAATTAAGAGTTGCAAATGTGGGCTGGGAAGCTGGCTCAGTGGTAAAGCGCTTGCCTTGCATGCCTGAGGCCCTGGGTTCGATTCCTCAGCACCACATAAGCAAAAAGAAAAAAAAAAAAGCTGGAAGTGGCGCTGTGGCTCAAGTGGTAGAGCGCTAGCCTTGAGCTGAAGAGCTGAGGGACAGTGCCCAGGCCCAGAGTTCAGGCCCCGCGACCGGACCCCAAAAAAAAAAAAAAAAAAAAAGTTGCAAATGTGGCTTAGTGGTAGAGTGCTTGCCTAACAGGCATGAAGCCCTGGGTTCAATTCCTCAGTACCACATACACACACACAAAAAGCAGGAAATGGTGCTGTGGCTCATAGAAGTGCTAGCCTTGAGCAAAAGAAACTCAGGTACAGTGCCCAGGCCCTGAGTTTAAGCCCCAGGACTGGCACAAAAAATTAAAATTAAAAAGTAATTAAATTAAAATTAAAATTTCCCAGCCATCCCCTCTCTCAGTAGTTGCTAGATGGTTTTTGTTGTTGTCCTTGTGTTGGTTGATTGGTTGGTTGGTTGTTGTTTTGGTTTGGTTTGGTTTTTTGTCAATCACGAGGCTTAAACGTGGCCTAGGCATGTCCTCCAGTTTTGTTTGTTTGTTTTTAACTCAAGGCTTGTGCTCTATCACTATGAGCCAGAGCACCACTTCCAGTTTTCTGGTGGTTAATTGGAGATAAGAGTCTCACAGAAGCTGAGCCCCAGTGACTCCTGCCTATAATCCTAGCTACTCAGGAGGCTGAGTTCTGAGGATGGCGGTTCAAAGCCAGCCCGGGCAGGAAAGTCTGTGAGACTCTTATCTCCAATAAAAAACACTAGAAAACCGGAAGTGGCACATTGGCTTAAGCGGTAGGGCGCTTGCCTTGAGCTGAAGAGCGCAGGGACAGCGCCCAAGCCCAGAGTTCAAGCCCCATGACCGACAAAAAAAAAAAAAAAGTCTCATAGAGGAGCTGGGAAGGTGGCTCAGTGGTACAGCTCTTGCCTTACATGCATGAGGCCCTGGGTTCGATTCCTCAGCACCACATAAGCAGAAAAAACCAGAAGTGGCGCTGTGGCTCAAATGGTAGAGCGCTAGCCTTGAGCTGAAGAGCTGAGGGACAGCGCCCAGACCCAGAGTTCAGGCCCCACGACCAACAAAAGCAAAGCAAAAAAAGAGTCTCACAGAGTTTCCTGCCAGGGATGGCTTTGAACCATGATCCTCAGATCCTCTTGAGTAGCTAGACTTACAGGCTTGGACCACTGGCGCCCAACCAAAGGAGGTGCAGCAAACACCCCAAACAGGACAGTTTGTTCTATCAATTCTCAGATCAGCTGCTCCCACTTCACCAAGATGTTGGACAGGCTTGGTGAGAAGGAAGGAGGGGAGGTTAGGAGCCCAGCAGAGCAACGCAATCACACTGCCTCTCCCCTTCTTCCCAGGGAGGGTTGCTGCTGTTCTGGGAGCACGTGGCTGAGCCTCGTGGAACCTGGGCCCACAAGTGGCAGCAAGTTTTGGAGCCTACCTGGAAACATATCGGGAATGGCTGTCGCCTCACCAGAGAGACATGGAAGGACCTTGAGAATGCGCGGTTCACTGAAGTCCAAATGGAATGGCAGCCTCCTCCCCTCAAATGGTTACCTGTTGGGCCTCACATCATGGGAAAGGCGATCAAATAAGCTTTTCCTCAAACCCTCACGACAGCCATTCATTCCCTCCCCAGCCTCCCGTCACCAGCCAAGACTATCTTCTACTGAAAGAAATCTAGAATACCGTAAGCCCTCTCTATGTCACCTTTATAATAGCATTTTTTTTTTATTTTAAAGAAAGAGATCTTGGGGCTGGGAAGGTGGCTCAGTGGTAGAGTGCTTGCCTCACATGCATGAGGCCCTGGGTTCAATTTCTCAGCACCATATAAGCAGAAAAAGCCAGAAGTGGCACTGTGGCTCAAATGGTAGAGTGCTAGCCTTGAGCTAAAGAGCTGAGGGACAGCGCCCAGGCCCAGAGTTCAAGCCTCATGACTGACCTGCCCCCTGCCCCCAAAGAAAGAAAAAGAAAGAGATCTAGAAAGGAATGAGAAACGCTTCCCTTCACCATTCCCTATTTCCTCCCTACCCCCCCTCCCAACCCACCCTGCCCAAAGGGAGGCAATCTTTACACCCTATCAAACTCATGTGTGTGTGTGTGTGTGTGAGAGAGAGAGAGAGAGAGAGAGAGAGAGAGAGAGAGAGAATCCTAGGCTTGAACTCAGAGCCTCAGTGTTGATCCTAAACCGTCTTGCTCAAGTCTGGTGCTCTACCACTTGAGCCACCACAGCTCTATTTCTGACTTTTTGGAAATTTATTGGAGATAAGTGTCCTAGACTTTCCTGCCTGGACAGGCTTTGAACCATGATCCTCCGATCTCAGCACCCTACACATCTAGGATTACAGGTGGAAGCCTCTAAAACCCAGCCTCACCTGGCCAAACTCTCAATTGCAAATTCTTGAATTTTGCCCACCCACTTCCCCATCCCTTTTCCACACCCCACAGAACAGTTTCTCCTGCCCACCTCCTGAAGTTATACCCACATACCCCTTGGAACTGGCCCCCGAAGTCATTGCCCCAGGGAACTGGTCCCAAAAGTCATGATACATGGATCCTAGGCCACATGAGCCTACCTCACCCCCCACCACCTTTGTCCTAAGATGCCAGGGTACCAGAGGGTGAAGGACTATTACACAATAAAGAAGCCAGAGGGCTATTTTTTTTCTTCCAATTTTTTTTAATAAATAAACAAAACCAACTAGACTAATGCGGCAAACTAAGGTGAGAGGAGAGGGGAAATTGGAAGGAAGGAGCCCCTGAGTCCACAACACAATCTCCTCCCTGACCCTCTGGCTAAGGCACTTTGGGGGAGACAGGTTACTAGGGTAATGGGAAGAGAGAGAGGTCGGGGTGAATGGAAGAGGGAAGACTGGGATCCCCTCTTCCCACCTTCTATCAGGGCCTCCTTCCCCTTCCTGCCCTGTCCACGGTCCTCCCCTGACTGACCCCCCTCTTGTTCCATAGCATTCTAAAGGGGAGGGATGGTTCTCCTGGGTGGGAGAGGTCTGCACCCCTTGAGGAAGCAGGCCCTGCCGAGTCCTGTTACCACCCCAGCAATCCCCTCCACCTTCTTCATTCTGGGGAGCCACTTGAGAAGGGGTAAAGGAAACCTCTGGCCAGCATGGGTCAAAGGAAGCTAGGCGGTGGCTGGCACGGGATGTCCATTAGGGCCCAGTTCAGACTGTCCATCGGTAGGCAAGATGGGGTGTGTGTCAGGACCCTCCCTGCGGGGACTGCCCCAGCTGCTTCTCAGGATGGTGCCCGTCTTCTCCTCCTTGAACTGCTGTCGATCTTCCCGAGGGATCTTCACTGCGTGGTACTGGGGCACGGTAGCCTCGGGGTGCTTCGCCCGCTTGAAGAATCCCATCTGTACAGACACCAAACCAGGCCCATGGAGAGTTCGCAGGGCTGTGGGCCCTGGAGCAAATAGCAGTACAACACAGAACCTGCTCTTGCTCCCAGTGGGCAGCCCCCAGGGCCCCAGATGTTCATTCACAGTGAGAGAAACTCCTGGTACCAGACTGAGGAAATCTTCCATAGCCACTGAAAGGCAGGCTGGAAGCCAGAGCATCAAGACCTCTGACTCCAAAGGTTTCCTTCCATCCACCCAAGCTTCTTTTATTTATTTTGTACTGGTTCTGGGGCTTGAACTAAGGGCCTGTCCCTGAGCTTTTTTACTCAAGGTTAGCACTCTACCACTTGAGCCACAGCTTCACTTCTGGCTTTTAGTGGTTACCTGTAGATAAGAGTCTCACAAGCCGGGTACTGGTAGTTCACACCTATAATCCTAGCTACTAAAGAGGCTGAGATCTGAGGATTGCAGGTCAAAATCAGCCCAGGCATGAAAGTCCGTGAGACTCTTATCTCCAATTAACTACCAGAAAACAGGAAATGGAGCAGTGGCTCAGAGTAGTAGAGTTTTAGCCTTGAGCAAAAGGAGCTCAGGGACAGTGCCCAGGCCCCAAGTTCAAGCCAAATGATCCAAAAAAAAAGTATCACAGACCTTCCTGCCTAGGCTGGTTTCAAATGATGATCCTCAGATCTCAGCTTCCTGAGTAGCCAGGAATATAAGTGTGAGCCACTGGTACCCAGCTAGTTTCTTCAGAGACCTCAAGCCCCATAAACAGCCACTATTTGTATGCTGAGTGCCATCTTGCTCAGGATTCCACCCAGAATCATGGCCATGCTGAGCCAATACACCAAGATGATAATGCATCCTCACACTCAGAACTGTCAAGACTCCTCCATGCTCAGGCTACAGAGCATCACCTTACACACTCATATCTGTACACTCATGCCTGTAAAAAGACATGCAAGGAACCATCCCACATGACCACATGCCCACACTCCTCGAGCCTCCCTCCCTTTGTAGAGCCCCTCAGCTCTGTTTGCTCATCCTGATCATCTCACCCCACTGATAACTTCTTACCCTGGCCGCTAGGACTCCCTTGGCCCTCATGCAGACACGTACCTCTTCACCCTGCATCCTTCCCTTCCTGAACCCCTGAATGCTGGCATCTGAACTTACTGCCACTCACGTACATACATACATGCACACACACACAACAGTTACCCCACAGTCCCTGGGCCCCCAACTTCCATGGCCGAAGGCTGCACGGCCAGATGGGCTCGGTGATAGTTGGTGGGAATAGCTGAACTCTGACTGCTCCGTTGGAAGAAGCCACACTGGGATGTGGAGGGAGAAAGGAGGGAAAGAGGCGGATGATGTGGGAAACTGAGGAAAGAGGATCCTTTTCCTCTGCTGGTGGCAGAAAGGCAAGCACCCTGGGCCAGCTTCCTGAACTCAAACAGCTCCTCTAAGAATGGACACATTCCCAACAGCTTGGGTGCCACTCCAGAGGCAGGTCCTCTGATGGCACTCACTGGCCCGGCGGGAGGGGGGGGGGGTGCTCGGCGCCGTGACTGGTCTGAAGGAACACGTGGCAGGAAAGCTCTCCACAGGCCTTGGGACACTGATGGTTCTGTATGGACGTGTAGTCTCGGGAGGACCAGCCCTTCCTCCACTGACATGTACGTGTATGTGCTTGTAGGTTGAGTTCCAGATGGTGCCAGCAGTCCATGACAGCTCTTGGCAGATGACAGTGATTTCATGTGGCGCTTAGAGTGTCTTTCAGGCACTTCCCTGGAGTTACTTTACCATAGATGGAGGCCCTGGCCACAGATTTCTTTCCTTCACTGCCACATTCTGCTGAAAGCAAGCCACCCTTTCCTGCCACCCTGACTTTCCTACCATGGTCATTCTGGAAGACGCAGGCCATACCCACCCATCCTATCCACCCGCAGACATTACCCAGGGCTCCCACGGAAGCAATCATTTCTTTTCTTTTCTTTTCTTTTTGCCAGTTTGGGGACTTGAATTCAGGGTCTGGGCACTGTCTCTGAGCTTCTTTTGCTCAAGGCTACCACATAGCACCACTTTCAGCTTTTTCTGTCTATATGGTACTGCGGAATGGAACCCAGGGCTTCATACATCGTAGGCTAGCACTCTGTCACTAGGCCACGTTCCCAGCGCATTGAGCAGTCATTTCTAAGGACTTCACAGTCGACTCCTCCCAAGGAAATAGGGCAGAAGACCCTTCTTTTTGAACCCTGGTTCATTTTTAAGCCACGGCTCCTCTGAACTCAAGCCTTTCTTCCTCTGAACTCATGCCCATGATCTGAACTCGATACCTTCTGCTTTGACTACAAAGCTCACCATCCCACTAGACTATAAATTTCCTAAGGTCAACATTCGGATCTGAATCCTCTTTGAAATGCCCAGGTACGATGGAGCTCCTGGTGCATGCTGGGAAAAGTACGCAGTGTAAAGCCATGGAACGTGAGTGTGTGGGTGAGTGAGGGAACCTCAATATGGGAGGCTGAGCATCTGGCCCAACTTCCAGCACCTCACCACCTCTCCTTCTAATCACCTTCCACAGCAGCAGCACCAACAGTGCCAGTACCAGCAGCCCAGCCAGCACGGCCAGGAGGATGATCCACCAGGGGACTCCTTCTGCTACCACAGCCATGGGGTCCAAGTACACCATCACTGGGATCTGCGGAGCAAGGGGTTAATGGGGTGAGAGCTAGGGAGGGGAGAAGGAGGGAAGAGAGTCCCCCGCCCATCCATCTCAGCCTGCTGCTCACCACTGTAGAAGCATCTCTGAGCACCAAGTTCTTGATGGAGGATTTCACGGTGATGTTGGCTCGAACAATCACTTCAAGGGACTTCACAGTTGAGTATTCCTGACAGGGCAGAGAAGGAGACCCTCCTCTTAAATGCTCCATTTCCCCTCCCCTCCCCCCCCCACCCGGGTCTGATCATAAATGGAACAGTGCCTCCTTTAGACTAGAGAGAGGTAGACGTGAGTCCTGGTGGCGATCTTCTAGAAGAAGACATTCAGGACGGAGCCCCAGCGGTGCCCTCACCTCCAGAAAGGTACTGTTCCACAGGCGGCCCCACACATGCAGCACTGCCGCTCGGTCGAAGCTATAGAGTGGGCAGCTGAACACCACACAGTTGGCCGTGCCCCGGGTACAGTCCTGATGGCAAGGACAGACAGAGCTCTGAGCCTCTCGGCCCCACGCTGCTGAGCCAGCCCAGCTCTGCCATTTTCCTTGTCCAATGAGAGCTGGAGGCCCTGAGTTCAAACCCCAGTACCAATACACACACACATAGACACACACACACACACACACACTCACAGGAGAAGACAAAAACTAGATGTTTTGACTGCGTACAAATCAAGCAGATGTTCCTGTCACTAAGTTCGTAAGAACAATGAACAGATCTCAGCAATGGTTCGCTCCACCCCATCTCTTACCAGATGTGGCACTGTATGTAAATGTGATGAGAACAGGTAGCTGCCCTGGCTCTGGAGCAGGTACTTGGAGCCGGGAGGCACAGGGAAGGGCTGCCCCTTCCCTCCAGTTCTGCAGCAATGATCCTGTCCAGGCATTTGGCCACTCTATGATTTTACAAGCCACCATCTCCCTCCCTGAATACCTACCCCCCTGAGGCTCCATACCCCCACCACAGCCTCTACCCACCACGCCACACCCGCTGTGGCTCACCACACTGGTGCTGCCCTTACCAGGGTGATGTTTTTCTTCTTCCCAGCAGAGGACACTGGCCACCAGGATGTGCTAGGCTCTAGCTGCTCCTGAGGCTCCTGCTGCCCTGGCGGCTCTAACTCCCGCCGCCTCCTCTCCCTGCTATCCACATCCTGGATATGAGGAAGAAGGGACCTGTGAAAACCCCGTCCCCCAAATGCAGCAATACTGAGGCCCTATCCCCTTCCCACCACCCACATCCACTCTCCCCACCCCCATGGCTTCCTTCCTGAAGTCTAGCCCTGCCCGCCCTGCCTAAGCCTCACCAGGTGAAGGATGTTGGGCCTGGGGGAGCAGAGCGCTTTCTGCCCCAGCCTCTGCCCTCCCTCCAGCTCCACCCGCATGGGATACAGCAGCCACTTCCCGTTGGCAATCTCGTGAGGCCACATGATGTTGAGGAAGGCAGCACCCAGCGTGTTGAGGGATTGGCCTTGGTTGGAGACCTGTGGGCACAAGCTGGTATGAAGGGAGGAAGCTCCAATTCTGGGCAGACCCTAAGCCACGGAGATTGGAGGGGATAAGGCTGAGGGGAAGGGCCTCAGCAAGCATAGTGTCAACAAAGATGCAGGATGTAGGACAGACCAGGCATGATTTTTCTCCCTCCACCAAACCCAGGCAAACCCGGCAATATCCCTCTGCTAAGGCCACAGTAGAGAAGTTCCTCTGAGCTTATCCAACTTCCACTTCTCACACCAGCAGGAAAGGTGGTGGGTCAAAATACCAAGCCCACAGCCAGGTCCAGGTGAGGGCAGAGACCACAGATTCACTGGACCACCCTGATGCCACAGAGAGAAGAGCCCCAGCCTTGGGACATTTCACAGCCTGTCCCTTATGCCAAGAAGAAGCACTAATGGTCGGTGGTTCATGCCTGTCATCCTAGCTACTCAGGAGGCTGAGATCTGAGGATTCCAGTTTGAAACCAGCCTGAGCAGGAAAGTCCATGAGACTCTCATCTCCAATTAGGCACCAAAAAGCTGGATATGGAGCTGTGGCTCAGTGGTAGAGGGCTAGCCCTGAGTTCAAGTCCCTGTACCAGCACAAACGAAGAAAGAAAAAGAGAAGAAGGAAGAGGAAGAAGAAGAGAGGCATATACACTCAGACACTTACCGTAACCTCATATTTGACCTTGCTGCCCACATCCCGCTCAGACCGCATGGCACTCTCACCCTTCACCACACCAGAGAAGAAGAGTTGCTGGGGTGTGACCACCCTGGAGTGGAGGTGTCAAAACAGGGGCTGATGAGGACTGGGGTCTGGCTGGATGGAGTCCACAGGGTAATGGCGGGTGAGGTAGAACCCAGGCCAGAGTTTGGGAATGGCAGTACCACCCCCCTCATCCTCCTCTCCCCAACTGCATCCTCCAGATGAAGTGCCCGCGCAGCAGGGCTTACCCTGCAATGGACAGCGGCAGCTCAATGAAGACGTGGGCTCGAGCGAAGACCGGATGCAGCTCCTGCTCGCTGATCCTGGCATGTGGACAGGGGTGTGTAGGGTCAGCGGGCACAGGCACACACACACACACACACACTCATTTCCAACTCTCCCCTTATTCTTCCCTGCCAGACTCACGTGGCCAACTGCAGCTCCACCTCCAGCTCTGAGGTCTCAATGGTGATCCCAGAGGTGCCGAGGATGAGGTAGAAGGTGACCTAGACCAGTGTGGAAAGACAGAGTCAGAGGAGGGGCCAGGCTTAAGGAAGGGGTCACTCAGACAGGGTGAAGTGCAAATGTGCCAACCTGGGCGCCTCTCTTCATTGGGTTCCCCAGCTCACACTCGACTTGGGAGGCATTCTCATTGGACAGGCAGAGTGGCTTCTCCTAGTGTAGAGAGAGGAAGACAGGTCAGTTGGGATTACCAGAGCCCTTCAAGCACCCACCCACCTCGGCCCCAGGTCCTCACCGCGGAGTTCAGGGCTCGGACTCCTGAGTAGTGCAGTGAGGAAGGGAGGGTGATCAGGAGTTGGGCTTCATGAGCATCATCCCCATCAGCCTGGGGCTGGGCTGGGTTCGAGGGCAGGTTGGTGACCATCAGCTCCATGCCGATAACGGGCTGTCCACTCAATGCAAACAGGGCTGTTGTCCCATCTACATCCCTGGAGGGTTGGACAGACCCACACACACACACTCACCTTAAGATCTGAAGCCTTCCCCTGGTTTTCTCTCTCAGCCCTCACCCCAAAGCCAGGTACTGAAAAACCACACACCAGCCCAAACCAGGTTTCTATAGACACAAATGAGAATCAAGAGACCTCTCTTCTCATGCCAATTAGACCATTTAGGGCAAATAATTCAATGTCTGTAGGCCTCAGTTCTCCGTCCATAAAAAGGGACTAAAAAGATGGGCACCGGTTGCTCACACCTGTAATCCTAGCTACACAGGGGATGTGAGATCTAAAGATCCCAGTTTGAAGCCATCCCAGACAGACAAATGTACAAATCCAAGAGACTCTTATCTCCAATTAATTAGCTAAATGAGAATATGAGGTCCTGTGTTCGAGCCCCAGTACTGGCATAGAAAGAAAAAGTCGGTGGGGGGACTAAAAACTCCTAGCTCACAGACTTGTGAAGACTAAGCCATGAGATGTAAGTAAATCTGTGAAGGATTGTCATTCCCTGCCAAGTAACCCTATAGCCCCAGCCCTGCCCCTCCTCTCAAGGTTTTCTCTAGCCTTTTTCCTCTGCAGGCTCAGACTCTCCCTCTGCCTGGTCCTCCCGAAGGAGCTGCCCCCCACTCCTTGACTTCTTGCCCTCCCCTCTCCCTACCATCTGCTTCCCACCCTTCTTACATGGGCAGGGGCTGGAACTCTGTGTCGCTGACCCGGGTACAGAAGCGAGCCTGAACCAGCTGCAGGTTGCTCTGACAGATCTTGTCTTCACCACAGCCTTGTTTCAGAAAGTGGATCTAGGCAGAGATTTGAAGAGAAGGTCATTCCTAGGAGGTGAGGCAGGGGTTGAATGTGTCCCCAAGACATAGAAAGGAGTTATAGAATATCTTGGGATTAAACAACTGTAGATCTTCTGTATGCTCCAGGGCTGCTCACTGAACCACTCTGAGCTGTAAAATGATGGGAGTATAGCCATGCTGTAGTAGAGACTAGCCAGCTAAAGCTGCAATGGGGCATGGTTCAAGTGGTAGAGCACCTGCCTACCAAGGGCAAAGACTTGAGTGCAAACCCCAGTCCCAAAGATAGAAAGAGACAGAGACAGAAAAAGGCAGAAATCAGAGACAGAGAGAAAGAGATGAGAGAACAGAGACAGAAAAGAGACAGATGATAGATAAATGAGACAGACAGAAACAGAGACAGACAGACACTAACAGGCTAGTCCACAGTCAGCCCACATTTCCCCCGCCTTAACTGCATGTTCTAGATTCCACATTGACACTGAGTAGCAGCAGTAAAGGGCACTGCTCTGGGCTGGCTGTGAGAGCTATAGAGAGAACTTGATGTTTCCTTTCCAGCTAAATGGGAGGAAGGTGACTGAAGGACCTTGGCGGCCAGATTTGAAAATGACAGCCCGTTCTCTCCCCCTCCCTCCCCCCTGCAGCCTGGGATGCTGAATGATGACAGGGAGCAAATAAATACTATCCCTTGAACTGGGAGCATGGGTTATATGGGCCATTTTACATTTGGGGGTCTACTTGTTAGAATACCTAGAGATGTATAGAACTAAGCCAGGCACTGGTGGCTTCTGACTGTAATCCTAGCTCCCTCCTGGCTGCTTTGTCCACACTCACCTCCACTCGCTGGGTGCTAGGCTGGTAGGCATTGAGGATAGGTGCCACTGGGAACAACTCTTGGCCAGGAGTCTGTTGACGGAGCCGAGGGGTCTGGAGACTGTAGGACAAGGTCACCACAATGGCTCGAAGTTTGTCTTTGACATTCTCCTGCAAAGGAAAGATTGTTCCTCCCTGGAGCCCAGGACAGCCAGACCCAGGACAGACAATGAAACTTAGGGAGAGGAAGGACAGAGGTGGGGAACCAAGCTAGAAAATTAAGAAGAGCCAGGTGTCGGTGGCTCACACCTGTAACCTTAGCTACTCAGGAACCTGAAATCTAAGGATCGTGGTTCAAAACCAGCCTGGGCAGGAAAGTCCATGAGACTCTTATTTCCAATTAACCACCTGAAAACCAGAAGTGGCGCTGTGGCTCAAGTGGTAAGAGTGCTCGCCTTGAGCTGAAGAGCTCAGGGACAGCACCTAGGCCCAGAGTTCAAGCCCGCCCCATGACTGACAAAAAAGAAAAAGAAAAAAGAAAGAGACAGAGACAGAGAAAGAAAGAAAGAAAGAGAGAGAGAGAAAGAAAGGAAGGAAGAAAGGGAGAGGGGGGAAGGAAAGAAAGAAAGAAAGAAAGAAAGAGAGAAAGAAAGAAAGGAAGGAAGGAAGGAAGGAAGGAAGGAAGGAAGGAAGGAAGGAAGGAAGGAAGGAAGGAAGGAAGGAAGGGAAAGAAAGAAAGAGAGAGAGAGAAAGAAAGAAAATGAAGAGAGCAGAGTATAAGGAAGGAAGGAGACTCTGGATTTATAGCTCTGAAGCCTAGATTCCCTACCTCTGTGGAGTGCAAAGCTGAACAGATTACTACAAGCAGCAGTGTGGACAGAAGACCTAGAAGAAAGGCTCCCAGCATCTATCTTAGAACAAGGAGCCAGTGTATCAGTAAGGAAGCAGCTAAGAAGCCAGGTGCCAGCGGTTCACGCCTAACTACTCAAGGAGGCTGAGCTGGGTTCGATTCCCCAGCACCACATAAACAAAAAGGAAAAAAGCCGGAAGTGGCGCTGTGGCTCAAGTGATAGAGTGCTAGCCTTGAGCTGAAGAGCTGAGGGACAGCGCCCAGGCCCAGAGTTCAGGCCCACGACGGAACCAAAAAAAAAAAAAAAATCAAGGAGGCTGAGATTGGAGGGTCACAGTTCAAAGCCAGCACAGGCAGGAAAATCTCTAGGTCTCTTATCTCCAATTAACAAACAAAAAGCCAGAAATGGAGTTATGGCTTAAGTAGTTAAGCACCAGAATTGAACAAAAATGCTAAGGGAAGCCGGGCACCCGTGTCTCACACCTATAATCCTAGCTACTCGGGAGGCTGAGATTGAAGATCTCAGTTCAAATCCAACCTGGGCAGGAAAGTCCATGAGACTTTTTGGGGTTTTTTTTTGTCAATCATGACTGAACTCTGGGCCTGAGCACTGTCCCTCAGCTCTTTAGCAAGGCTAGCATTCTATTACTAGAGCCACAGTGCCACTTTTGGCACTTGTGTGGTACTTAGGAATCAAACCCCGGGCCTCACTCATGCAAGGCAAGCACTCTACCATTAAACCACCTTCCCTGTCCCATCCTTGAAACTCAGCTCCAGTTGACCAACAGAAAATCGGGAGTGGCGCTGTGGCTCAAAATGCTAGAGCACTAGCCTTGCACAAAAGAGCTCAGGAACAGCACCCAGACATTGAGTTCAAGCCCTATGACCAACAAAAATAAAATATGCTAAAGGACAGCACCCAGGCCCTGAGTTCAAGACCCAAGACACACACACACACACACACACACACACACACACAGAAGAAAGAGGAGGAGGAGGAGGAGGAGGAGGAGGAGTTGGTGGAGGCAGAGGAGGCAGCAGCTAAGGGGGATCAAGGAAAAGACCCACAGTGACAACACTCAAAAGCCAGAGCTCAGCGTCCACCTGTAGCTGGAACATGGCATCTCCGCAGACTCGGTCATGCTGGTGCTTCAGCCACACAGTGCCTGAGGCCTGGTGCTTGGGGTCATCAGGGCTACGGCTCAGGAAGATCACACGAGGAACCTGACCCCGGAGCCTCCGGTCTGTGTCCCCATCTAGCATATAATCCAGGGCTGGGCGTGGAAGGAGAATAGAGGAGGCAGTGAGCTGGGGAGCCATTTCACCTGACCCCGCTCCTATGGAGCCCTCCTCTCTACCTCAGGATGACCCATCCTGGAAATGCAACAGGGTAAACAGCAGAAGAGAACCTCCACTCACCCACAATAGGGCTGTAACTGCTGGGCATTGCAATGTAGCTAAAACAGATCCTCAAGTCTACACTGTGGGGAGCAAAGGGAGGCTCCTGAGCCAAATAAGACCCTAATCCGCCCCCACACCTTTCCCACTTGTTCCAAAGCCCAGCCCTTGGCCCCACACCAGAGAAAGAGAAGGAAAAGGGCGCAACCCTGACACCATCCTTTCCCCATCTTACCAGACTAAGCGGTCACCAGCACAGTTGGGCTGTTCTAGGTCGATGGCCGGTGGAGCCACGAAGATTTCATGGGAAACATGGAGGACAGGTCTGGCCCTGGGAGTAGGGGCAGGGGAGGGACAGCATGGGAAATCCTTGCAAGAAACAGAAGGCCAGGAGGCTGGGAGCATGCCGCAGATAAGCTACAGGGAGAGGCTTAGCGGCTCAGGGAGGGAGAAAGATTTGAGTTTACCTGAATAGTATGGCAGTGTCTGCCAGTGAGCCCACCAGCAGGTCCGGGTAGTGGTTCCCATCCACATCCAGGCCGCCCGACAGGGAGTAGCCTAAAGTCTTGATGCCCACGGACTCTCCCTCCAGCACCTGGGGACCAGCCATCATTCTCCCAGAATCCCCTTCTCCCTATATCTCTGCCTCCTCCCTCCCTACCTTCCACATATGCTCATTCCATCATTACACACACACACACACACACACACACACACACACCAGAGCCCCCTTTACCTGTGAAGGTTTGGTGACAACCCCCAGGCTGCTCCCATGGTAGATAAAGACTTTCCCATCCCCATCAAAGGGAGCTCCCACCGCGATATCTGTGGGGTGTGGGAGAGGCATCATACTGGCTGGAGAAGATGGGAGGCAAGGCCCAGGCCCAAGTTCCCTCACTCAACCCTGTTTAATATGGTTTGTATGGGGGAGGAGCTTGAATTCAACAGCTCCAGCTCTTGCTTAGCTTTTTTTCCCCCCTCAAGACTGGGCCTCTACCACTTGGGCCACACCTCCACACACTGAGGTGGCTCAGTGGTAGAGTGCTTGCCTTGCATGCATGAGGCCCTGGGTTCAATTCCTCAGCACCACATAAGCAAAAAGAAAAAAGCCAGAAGTGGCACTGTGGCTCAAGTAGTAGAGTACTAGCCTTGAGCTGAAGAGCTGAGGGACAGAGCCCAGGCCCAGAGTTCAGGCCCCATGACCAGACCCAAAAGAAGAAGAAGAAGAAGAAGAAGAAGAAGAAGAAGAAGAAGGAGAAGGAGAAGAAGAAGAAGAAGCAGCAGCAGCAGCTACAAAGTCCCAGACATCTTAATCTCCTCAATCATTCCTCCAAATAGGACTAACTCAGAAAGGCTAACTAAACTTGCCCAACACCCAAAAGCATGGTAAAATTCACACATCAGCTCAGGTTCACTTCTCTCCTTGAGTCCTCTGAAGCCCTCCCCCACCCATGACCTGGGGGAGGGGGAAAGGGGAGCTTCCACATCCTTTCTCCATCTCCTCCACTGAGCCCTTTCTACTCCCAGCCACACCTGGGAAGCCATCTTGGTTGAGATCCCCCAGGACAGTCAAGCTGATCCCGAACATGGAGTCGGGGGAGCCACAGAGCCGGAGTGGGGAAACCCCTGACCAGTGACCTCCTTGGTTCATGTACACATACACGGCACCTCCCAGCTCTTCTTGGCGCTCAAAGAAATAGGGGGCACCCACGATCAGGTCTTGCCAGCTATGGAGAGAGGGAAGTAGTCAATGTGGGGTCTTTCAGGCGATTCCTCCCTCCCAGACCCAGCCTCCCCCAGACCCCATTCCTGTGCCCTCTTACCCATCATTGTTGAGATCAGCCACCGCCAATGAGTACCCAAACCCAGAGGTCAGACGCTCCCCATACAGCACAACCTCGGGCACCAGGCGGCTGGCACTGTTCTTGCTCAGAATGACCACAGCACCCTTGTGGTTGGCACGGGGGGCCCCTGCAACAAAGCTCAGCTCCTCTGCACGCACCAGACCCTTCGCAGAGTCAATGGAGAAACCTAAACGAGGGATCACTTATCAGTAAATGTTTCTCCAAGGCTCAGACGCCAGGAAAGCCACAGCTCCCCGGCCCTTGTCCTACCCCCAAACAAGTCTGGTTAGAACCCAAAGCATGGGTTCTATCACCACCATGGCTGAGCCATTCTTCCTTCCCCTTCCAGGACCTGGCAGCCCTCCCATGCCCTCTTAGCCCAGAGACTGGAATTTGGCACAAGAAGTGTGATGAGGTCAGGCTCCGGGGAGAGACAGAAAGGCACTGGAGAAATGCCCAAGTGACAGGCAGGAACTGGACACAGTGACAGGAGATAGGCCAGAGGGTCTGCCCCTGCCCAACTCGGGCCTGGAGGAGAATCCCCCCAACTTCATACCCTACCAGGACCCTGCCCCATCCAATATACCTTCCTTATCCCATCTCCCACCCCAGCAAGGAGAGGAAGTCTTCACATGGACAAGAGTGACACACGGGACGGTGAGGAAGTGCTTCCTTCTCCCAAAGATCTCCCAAGCCTCGTTTCCCCCTTTGCAGGAAGATGCAGAGGTGGAGAGACTTACCAACAAGACTAGACTTTTCTCCAGCGTGAGCCCTCTGTCCACCCGCAAAGAAAGTCCCCCCTGGAGATCAGGAGTCATCTTCCCAGGAGAGACTCAGCCCTGTCCTCCCCCACCCACCTGGACCTCCTCACAAAAGAGGTTTTGCTCACCATTACCCTTGGGGCCTCCCCAGGCTTGGTTACTATACCCAGATTTTTCTACACAATTTGGACCCCATGTGTGTTTCCTTGAGTGTGTGTTATGAGTTGCAGGGCAGGAAAAGAGAAGGGGAGGCCAGAGCCAAGCCCCCGCCCAAGCCCAGAATGTGGAAGCTTACAAACCTAAGTAGCTATTCAGGGCCAAGTCTCCGGCTGGTCTTGAGAGCCGGTCAACGGGATCCAAAGTTTTATACACGATCTGGTCATGGTTTGAACTATCAATGCTGGTCACAAAAAGCAACCCTGTGGGGGGTGGGGGTAGGGAGTGGGGGAGACACCAGGAAAGGGACATCCAGAGAAAAGATGACAGAGTGGGAGATAACAAAGTCAGATGGAAAAAAAAAAGCAGAAGAAAAAGGAGGAGGAAGAGGAGGAGAAGGAAGAAGAGGTTGATAATGAAAATAAGAGAAACCAAGCCATCAGAGAGATGAGTGTCAGAGACAGACAGAAGAACAGAGAGACAGACAGAAACAGCAGGATGGGAGGAACGTGGAGAGGGAGGACAAGAGAGAGGAACAGAGGGTTAGAGTGGCTCTGGGTCAGGGAGGGGTCCCTACCAAAGTAACTGTTGGCAGGGACCGGGATGAGGCGGGGGTCCTGTTCCTTCTCGCCCCCCGCCTCGTAGGGCCCGTCGTCCAGATGCACCAGGTCCGCCGAGCCCTGTGCACAGAGCTCCACCCTGGCCGTGCCTGCAAGGACAAGCCTGTTAGTGCCCAGGGCAGGGAGCCCAGAGCATCCCTCACACCAGACACAGAGGCAGACAGGCACAAGGAAGCCCTTCCTTGCCTCGTCCATCCTAACTCCACCCTCACCCCTAGCCCAGGCTTCCTTAGGGTGGGGGTGGCACCCCCCAGACTTAGCATCTCACTCACCGAGTGTCAGCTCGGCCAGCAGCAGCAGCAGCAGCAGCAGCGTGCAGAGCCGGGGAATGGCAGTGATGGGGCCTGGGCGCTGTGCCGGAGCATGCAGACCCTGGGCTGGGTGGGTAGGCCCAGCCATGCACGTGGGAGCTCATGCCAGTGTGTGGAGGAACAGTTGGCCATGCGAAGGACAGGAGGTACCCTCGTTTGTGCGTGTGTGTGCTAACACGATGGGAGTGGAAGGCCTCGCAGTGCCCCCAGGGTGATGTGGCAGGGAGCACGTGGTCATGCTGGGGCCGTGTGCTACCCTCCATCCCATCTCTGAGGTAAGAGGAGGATTTTGGTCCCCTTCTCCCCTCCCGGAGGAATGACTCACCCTTCCAGTTATAGGTTCCTGGAGCCCCAAAGAGAAGGTAGTGGCTGTCAGGAGAGAAGGCAACCGCTGTGCCCTGCTGACAAAACCCAAACTGTTCATGGCCCTGGGGACGGCCTTCGCAGAACTTCCAGTGTCCACCATCTACATCATCCCGGATAGCCAGGTCCTGGCTCAACACAAAGCAGCGACCAATCACATCCCGAGTCTCCAGGATGTGATCCACTCGCTGCCTCGACTCATATCGGTGTGCGCAGGTCTGGGGGAGGAAAAGAGGAAAGGGGTCATTTCCTGTGAGCGCCTGAAATGTACACACTGCCTACGTGCAGACATCTTGAGTGCACACAACATGCACTCATGCATGCACCTGTATGCAGGCACGCACACGCCCTAGGCCAGATCACATGAGCACCAAGGCCCAGACTGTGTTAGACAGGTCCTTGTATTACCCAGAATCCCATCTCTATCCACTTCCTGTCCCTGCATATAGATGGCCTTGTTCCACATTCTACATGGGCACCTACAGACACATGATGAAGGCCATACATGGGACACCGCTATCCTACAACATGCTATGCTATGCACCACATAAACAGAAAAAAATGAAAGTGGCGAGGTGGCTCAAGTGGTAGAGCACTAGCCTTGAGCTGAAGGGCTCAGGGACAGCGCCCAGCCCCAGAGTTCAAGAAAGAAAGAAAGAAAAGTTTGTGAGACTCTTATTTCCAATAAAGTACTCAGAAAAAGTCAAAGTGGAGCTGTGGTTCAAATGGTAAAGCCTTGAGCACAAAGAGGCTCAGGGACAGGACCCAGGCCCTGAGTTGAAGCCCCATGATCAGCAAAAAGAAAAAAAAATGAATTTCCACAACTATATAGCAAGGACTAGGCCTTCCCCCATTCTTATATACCTTCTCTCAGTAACTTCAGTGCCTGAAGCTTGAAAGATTTTCATTCTGCCTGGTGCGTGTTTATAATCCTAGCTTCTCCGGAGACTGAGACAGGAGGATAGTAGTGCAAAGGCAGCCTAGGCAGGAAAGTCCCTGAGACTCTTACTTCCAATTAACCACCAAAAAGTGATGGTTTGATCTAGTGGTAGAGCATTAGCCTTGAGCAAAAAAGCTCATATCTCCAATTAACCACCAAAAGTCAGTGGCAGAGCACTAAGCCTTGAGCAAAAAAGCTCAGAGACAGTGTCCAGGCCCAAAGTTCAAGCCCCAGGACCAAAAAGGAAAAAAAGAAATGACTGATAAGTATTTTTAAGTTTATAAAGAAAGAGATCACTTGTCACACTTTTATATTGTCAGAGGTCCTGTGTGTTCTATAAGAATATTGAGGCATATACAAACCATCCACACATAGTCATTATCATCGTCACCATCAACCATCTTTTTGTCCAGTCACAAGAAGCAATACTCACTACAATCTTGCCCCCGGGTCCCTGGCTCCGAACACTGACTCCCAACCACTGATTCTCCTTGCTCTCCTTTTGCAGATTAGCTATAGGCAAGATACTGAGAATTAGGGGAGGGAAGAGAAGAGCAATTCCTCTCCTCCCCGCCACAGTACACCCTCACATGCCACACCTCCGGAATCCATGTCCACTCTGTAGCAGTCAGTCTCCTCCAGGCTCAGGGGGCAAGCAAAGAGGCCTCCGGTGCGATTTGCCTGTTGCCCAGGAAGAGCCAGTGCCTGGGGAGCACCCACCAGTAGCCTGCACAATGAACAGAGGCCAGAGTTAGAGGTCAGAGTGTTCCAACTTCTCCAGAGCTGCCCAAGCCCAACCCCTCCGTGCTGAAGAGAAGGGCAAAAGTCATTTGCCTCCAGCTCTGTCTAGGACAAATTAACACATTTGGCCTCACAATGATCATGTTATATAGACACATACTGTCTGGTGAGAAAGCAACACCCATACGTACAGACACACAAACATGCCAACCACAGCATCCTGGCCAGCACTGCAAATTTGAAAAAACCGCCTGTGCCCAGCACCTGTTCCTAACAGGCCTTCCTTACCCCTGCCTGCTTGGCCCCAGCCCCAGGCTCTGTCCTCCTCCCCCTACCCTGGTTCAGTTGATACCCTGCCAGAATGCTAAGAATGCTGGGAGCAAGAGCAACCAGGGCCCAGCCTGGCACGACCAGTGGGGCTCAGAGATCAGCTTCAGAGACCAGGCCACAAGCCCCCTTTGCCTGCGATTAGAGGAAGTTGCTTCTCCATCATCAGGGGCCTGGCAAAGACCCCACCCCATCCCCCAAGGCAGCTCTGCCCAGCCCAGAATTCATGGTCAGTTGCTCCAGCTGCCATGGAAATCGGGATGAGTATCTTATTCTGTCTGCCGTCTTATACCCATTCTCCTCTCACATCTGGAAGCCCCATCCCCATCCTTCTTTCTCCCGCATCCCTGATCCCCTACCCCTAGCCCATCTTCTCTCCAACCTCCCCCTCAGCCTTTTTCCCAGCTACAGCCTTCTTGGCAGGACAATTTTCCACGATCACAGCCAAAGGCATCCTCCCCAGGAGAGCGCTGGGCTGGGAATGGAGGCTGCCTGTTGGGTCCCTTGAGACTGAACCCCCAGGCCAGGAGCGAAGGAGCGAGTAAAGTGAGGTGACTGACTGATACCCAGCTGGGTCCTCTGTTTGCAAGAGGAGAGGCTCCAAAGTGGCAGCAGGACAAGCCTCAAGACCTCTCTCCCACACTCATCTATCTCCCTTCCTAAGGGGGAGGAGGGAGGTGAAGCTCCAAACTGTCGGGAAATATTACAGACAGGCATATGCGGGGCACAGAGCCAGGCTTGATGGGGCAAGGGAAGGGCACAGAGCCATTCCCCCTTCCCACAACTCCTCCTGTCTCTGAGCAGCTGTCATCCCATGTCAGAGCCAGTGTCAAGTGAGAGGGAGTGGGGGAGGGGCAACAGTAAAGAAGAGAATGGACACGCAGCATTCGTTGAACAACTAGTTACTGGCATCAGATCATATGCCAAGCCCTGTGTCAGGCACCAGAGACACAAAGTAGTGGTTCTCTTATTCAACACCTATAATGAATCAGGTCCCAGGCTAGAGACAAGAGTCAGGAAATACCCACATAGGTGCTAGGAGAATGAAGTCACACACATTATCCCATATGATCTCCACAACAACCCTACAAGATAAGGGCTTGCCCCAACCCCCAATACTGGGGCTTGAACTCGGGACTCTTAGTTTTTTCACTCAAGGCTGGTGCTCTGCCACTTGAACCAAAATTCTACTTCCAGATTTTTGGTTGCTAGTTGGGGAAAAAAGTTTCACAGAAGCCTGGCTCCCTTTCTCACGCCTGTAATCCTATCTACTCAGGAAGCTGAGATCTGAAGATCTCTGTTCAAAACCAGCCAGAGCAGTAAAGTCCCCTGGAGACTCTTATCTCTAATTAACCACTCAAAACCTGGAAGTGGCACTGTAGCTCAAAGTGGTAGAGCATTAGCCTTGAGCTGAAGAGCTGAGGAACAGTACCCAGGCCCAGAGTACAAGCTCCACAACTTACACCCCCCTCAAAAAAAAAAAAAAAAAGTTTCACTAGCTTTCCCTGCCACAGCTGGCTTCAAACCTCAGTTTTCAGAACTCGACCTGAGTAGCTAGGGTTACAGGCACCTGTTTAAGGATTCTTTTCTTGTCTTCCAGATGAGGGAATTCACTGAAGGACATTAAGCAGTCGTATTAGAATTCAAATCCACATCTGCCATTTGTTCGCTCCACCCACTGACTGGCCTGTATTCAGAACACTGACACTACTCCAGAAGAGGAAGAGGAGGAAAGAGAGGACACCCTGGGAATCTCCCTGGGGATCTAGGTGACAGAGCCCAGTGCCAACCTCCAGGCAAGTCAGCCGAGCTCCAACCCATCTCTTAGAACAGAGGTGCTTTATTCACCTGTGTGCTTGGCCCACAGGAATGACTAGGATGTGTTGACTAAACCTCTTACAGACTCACAGAGACACCCAGTGCCTCAGCTGCTCAGTGCATCTAGCAAAGAACCCAGAGAAGCTAAGTGCTCTTTGCTCACTTCTCTCCTGCAGGCTAAGGACAGGGAGGTAGGGACAGGCCCATATGGACAAAAGCTGAGTGTGCACAGACAAACCCAGCCCAGCTCCTGTTGGAAAAAAAAGACCAGCTAGTTGCTCCTGCAACAAGAACACCCGTGTGCAGCCTCCTTAACCCCTCCACCTCTGCCCCAGACACATGTTCTTTCCTGGCTTCACCCCAGGAGCCCCAGGCACCCTAAGCCTCAGACAGAACAGTAGCCCCAGCTGAAGTCACTGTAGAGGGGCCGGGGAGGAAGAATGAAAGTGTTGGTAGCTTGGTGCAGAGGGACCTCCTGGGGGCCAAGCTAAATCGAGACAAGGAATCACCCATTACCATGCACTTCTCTATTCTCTGCACACACCAGGGCTCCAGCCCAAGTCCAGCCCCTCGCTGACCCCTCTCAGTCTGGGTGGCCCTCTGGGAAAGCTGTTTGAACTGAAAGGCTGGCTGAGCCTGGAGGTCCTGTAGCCAAGCCTTTGGATCCAGGATGCTGTAAGGCACTAAAGTAGTTCTCTCGCTCTGTGACTCATAATATAAGAATAACCGTTCTCCTTTGTATAATTAATATATACTAATAAAAATAAAAAGGAAAGGCTGGGAATGTAGGTCAAGCGGTAGACTGCCTGCCTTACGAGTACAAATCCCAGAACTTCCCAAAAAGGAAAATGTGGAATAAATAACCTTACTATGAGTGTTTTTATAGTGCTCACTACAGGCTGTACAGTATTTTAAGTGTCTTCCATATATTAAGAATGCCACTAGGCCTAGTGGCTCACTCACACCTGTAATCCTTAACTACATAGGATACTGAGATCTGAGGATCACAATTCGAAGGCAGCCCAGGCAGGAAAGTCTGTGAGAATCTTTTTTCTTTTTTCTTTTTATTTTCCTTTGGCCGGTCCTGGGTCTTGAACTCAGAACCTGGGCTCTGTCCCTGAGCTTCTCTGTTCTCAAGGCTACAGCCTAGCCACTTGAGCCACAGTGCTGATTCCAGCTTTTTCTGTTTATATGGTACTAAGAAATTGAAGCCAGGGCTTCATGCATGCGAGGCAAGCACTCTACCACTAAGCCACATTCCCAGCTCTGTAAGACTATCTCCAATTAAGCAAAAAGCCAGAAGTGAATATATGGCTCAAGTGATAGAATACCAGCCTTGAGCAAAACAAAAACTAAATGAGAGCTCAAACTCCTGAGTATAAGCCCAGGTACCAGCACAAAAGAAAGAAAGGAAGGGAGGGAGGGAGGGAGGGAAAGCTGGGGCGCTGGTGGCTCACACCTGTAATCCTAGCTTCTCAGGAGGCTGAGATCTGAGAATCATGACTCAAAGTCAGCCTGGGCAGTAAAATTTATGAAACTCTTATCTCCAATTAACCATCATAAAACTGGAAGTGGTGCTGTAGCTCAAATGTTAGTGCACTAGCCTTGAGCAAAAGAACTCAGGAACAGCACCCAGGCACTAAGTTCAAGCCCCAAAACTGACAAAAAAAAAAAAGCATGGAGAAAAAAAAAGAAAGGAAGGAAGAAAGAAAGAAGGAAGGAAGGAAAGAAAGAAAGAAAATGTGGCTGCAACCACAAAGCAAAGCAGACTGACAGGTGTGAAGGCTTTTCCATCAATAGGTGCTAAGGAAAGTGACCCCTGACTCAGAGGCTAAGAAGGCACCAGGTGGCTCCTCAGGGTCATAAAACAGCAGAGTACCCTGGAGCAAAGACAAAGTTAGATCATCAGGCCCCTCCAGGAATGGTTCTGAGAGACAGAATCAGGACCCACCTTCCGAGATGAGGGGGGGAAATGACAAGAGATCAAGCTCTTAAAAATAACCTAGAATTTGCTTGGAAATAGCTCAGAAGTTCAGCATGTCCTAAAAAGGCCTCCATTCCTGGGACTCTGGCAGATGGGAGAAGAAGGGAGGGAGGAAACAAGACAGAGACAAGAAAGAAAGGCAGACCTCAGGAGAGAAGAAGTCCGATACTTTATTATCTTCCTCCAAACTTTTAGGGACCACAGACTTGCTCCCAGATGACAAGATGATGGGAGGAGACCAATTAGGGCTAGCCTCCACCTCTAGTTGGTAAAGCAAATGAGCTCTTCTCCCTGCCCCCAGACCAATAGTAGGGGGGAGGGGGGGAAGAAGACAGTCCCAGGGGACCTCATCGATCCCAGTAATGGACACTTAAGAAGGCTTAAGCACAGGCTAAAGGGAGAAAATGCCCCTGGCCAGGAGGAAGTGGCAAGCTTTCTTTCCCCCTTCTTATCTCTCTTTTTACAGTAGCAAAAGCTAAAAGCACCACCAGCTGCAGGTACCACACAAGAGTGTGCATCTCCCAGAGGTTCTAGGCTGATGAGATAAGTAGATTTGTCCTCTGCCCCTTACTCCTCCCCGCCTATGCCTTACTGCTGAGATCCTTCGAGTTGGAAATTTTCCCGCGGAGGAGAAGGAACAAACGGCCTGGCCACCCATCCTTCATGGGTCTCCATCAGTGCGGCCACCACCGCGCAGCTACCGCCTCCATCTCCCACATCTCCCAACCTCCACTGCAGGTGGCCACGCATCTCCTCATCTTCCTGCTGCCTTGAACCACAAAAGTGGCAGCTGTTTTCTCCTGGGCTGCCAATGCTCGGGAACGCTCCCTCCATACCAAGATGATGCTCTGGCTGGAAGTTATTTCTGGAGTCTACCGTCCTCTCCTCCCAGGGCACCCCTTCCCTCTCTGCCTGACCTAACTAAGGAGGGGTGGCTTTGGAGATCTCGCTCCCTGTGCGGGGAGTTCGGTCGTCTGAAGAAACAGGGAAGCCAGAGACCCTGGGAGTGGAGCGAGGATTCTCTTCCCAGACAACAGTCTTGCTCTCCAACTGGTCCCTAAATCCGATCTCGGGTCTCAGACCTGGGTGGGGACAGATTGGAGACTCAGGGCAGATGAAGTAAGGTTCCAGGTCCCAGGTTGGAGTATGGAATGCCTGCGGGCGGCGCGGGTCTCGCTGGGGTTGAGGGACGGAGAGAGAAGATGACCAGGGCATGAGGGGAAGGCGGTGATCTACGGCTTGGGCCAGGCGACCCTAGCGGGGAAACTCACCAGCTCTGGGGCTGGGGCTGTAGCTGCCGGTGCAGAGCCACGGAGAAGCCGAAGAGGCTGCCCGGTTCGCCCTCCTTGCGCAGGGAGCCCATGACGTCCAGATTGAAGGCGGCAGCTCGTGGGAAGAGCACTCCGAAGAACAAGGAGCCAAGGAGGTAGCAACTCCCGGGGGGTCCACGAAGACCGCAGTTCCGAGTCCCCGCCATAGGGCCACCCACGCGCGCGCGCGCGGACCCCGCCAAGGCAAGCGGATTCTGGTGCGCCCGCAGCCCTAGGTCTCCCCGAGGCGTGTTTCTGGTTCCCGAAGTCTAACTGGTCACTCGGGGTGGGGGGGGGTCCTCCCGATCCTTTGTCCCCACCCCGACCCTTCTCTCTCCCACCCCTCCGAAAGCCTAGTACACGCTAGGACAACTACTGCGGTCAGCCGCAGCTCCTGTGTCCACGCCCCTGCCCGGCCACGCCCCTCGCCCGGGGCCACGCCCCGACCACGCCCTTTGCCCGGGCCACGCCCCTCGCCCAGGCCACGCCCTTTCCCGCAGCAGGTAGGAAGGATGCCCGAACTGGGAATCAGGCTTGCAGCAGCATCCTTCCGACCCCACCCCTATTCCCCGGACCCCCAGCTCTGGCACCAGCTCCAGCCCGCCTCCCACCCCAGCTGCATCCCCAAAGTGCTACCCTACAGAGATGGAGGCCGTGCCTAGGAACTGACAGAGAGGGAGAAGTCCAGTGTGGAAGAAGTGGAAAAGGGAATGGAGGGTATGAGAAATGGGGTGAGGCTGAAGGATTACCTGGACGCGAGATATACATAGATTTAAAAGAAAGGAGAAAGAGGAGCCGGACGCCGGTGGCTCACGCCTGTAATCCTAGCTACTCAGGAAGCTGAGATCTGAGGATCAAGGTTCAAAGCCAGCCCAGGCAGGAAAAGTCCATGAGACTCTTATCTCCAATAAACCAACCAGAAAACCGGAAGTGGTGCTGTGGCTCAAGCGGTCGGGTGATAGCCTTGACTCAGGGACATCGCCCAGGCCCAGAGTTCAAGCCCCTAGTACTAGCGTGTGTGGTGTGTGTCACACACACTCACACGAGAAAATGAAAAAGAGAGAGGGACAGAGATGGATGAGGCAGAGTCCTGGACCAGCTCAGGCAGAAGCTAGAAAGCAGGGAAGGGAGCTCCACAGGAACCCAATGACCTAGCCCTCTTCCTCCCTCTTCCCCGGAGGCTGGACAGAAGCAAAAGGATGGGACATTTTCCATCTCTCCGCTATTTATAACTCTAATCCAGAAATGGAGCCAGGAAAAAAAATATATAAGAAACAATTTGGTAAAAGAGGCTCCCTAGTCCCACTTTCCCTTCCTACTTCTCATTCTTATTAAGATGATCTTGTGTATATGCAGCTATCCATCTCTCCCTTTTCTCTTTTCTCCTCTCTGCTGTTTTTTGTTTTGCTTTGCTTTGCTTTGTTTTGTTTTTGACAGTCTTGGGGCTTGAACTCTGGGCCTGGGCACTGTCCCTGAGCTTCTTTTGCTCAAGGCTAGTGCTCTGCCACTTGAGCCACAGTGTCACTTCCGGCTTTTTTTCTTTTTGCTTATGTGGTGCTGAGGAATCGAACCCAGGGCCTCAGGCATGCAAGGCAAGCGCTCTACCACTGAGCCACCTTCCCAGCCCCCACTTCCCACTTTTTCTGAGTAGTTTAGTGGAGATTAGAGTCTCACCAACTTGATTGCCCCAACTAGCTTCAAACTTTGATCCTCAGATCTCAGCCTCCTGAACAACTAGGATTACATGCATATGCCACCTGCACCTGGCTTTCTCACATTTTTTTTTTGTCAGTGGTGGGGCTTGAACTCAGGTTGTGGGTGCTGTACTTAAACTCTTTTGCCCAAGGCTAGCACTCTCACTTTTTTGGCTCAAAGCTAGCACCCTCACTTTTTTTTTTGTGGGTCATGGGGCTTGAACTCTGGGCCTGGGCGCTGTCCCTCAGCTCTTCAGCTCAAGGCAAGCGCTCTACCACTTGAGCTACAGCACCACTTCCGGTTTTCTGGTGGTTTGTTGGAGATAGGAGTCTCACAGTCTCTCCTGCCCGGGCTGGCTTTGAACCTCGATCCTCAGATCTCAGCCTCCTGAGTAGCTAGGATTACAGGCGTGAGCCACCAGCGCCCGGCTCACCCTCACTTTTGTACCCTCTCTTGCTTGCTCACTCTCTCGCAATCTTGCTCTCTCTCTCTCTCTCTTTTTCTAGTTTGTCTCACCCCAAGTTCTATTTTTGCCCCCTCATTGTGTCAGACACACTTGGAATCTTTCTCAGCTTGTTGCTCAATGTCTCTTACGTCTCTGCCTTTCAAATGCCCACAGATTCATAGGGTTGTCACTTGCTTACAAGTTCCAGTATGTGTCCTACCTCATCTGGTGATCCCCTTGTCTCTCTTCTTTATTCAAAATGACAATTTCTTTGAAGAAGAAAAATAACAAAAACAGGCAGGCTCTCACTCTGCTGGCTCTGGGACAATCCTTGGTCCCAGGTTAATTGCAATAATTTGGCCTGTTTGGGTTTGTTTTTCCAGTCCTGGAGCTTAAACTCGGTGCCTGGGCACTGTCTCTGAGCTTCTTTTGCTCATGGCTAGCACTCTACCGTGCCACTTCCAGCTTTTTCTGTTTATGTGGTACTGAGGAATTGAGCTCAGGGCTTCATGCATGCTAGGCAAGCACTGTACCGCTAAGCCACATTCCCAGCCCTGGCCTGTTGTTTTTGTAATGCTTCTCCTGTGAGCATCCTCTTCCGGGCATTGCGCCTCTAAGCCAGTGCCATGAAGGAAATGCACGTGCAGAACTGGCACCAGCATTCTAATCCCAATCTCTCACATATGCCCTCTCCATCTTTTGGTTTTGGTTTTGGGTTTATGTTTTGTTTGTGTATATTCTTAGTACAGGGGCTTGAACTCAGGGCCTCTCATTCTCTCTCTTTCTTTCTCTCTCTCTCTCTCAAAGCTAGAGCTCTACCACTTGAGACACAGCTCTAGTTCTAGGGGTTTTTTTGTGTGTGTTTCTCTTTTTTTTTTTAGGGGGGGGTGGAATGTCTGTCAGACTTTTCTACCAGGCCTGGCTTCAAACTGGAATCTTCAGATCTCAGCTTCCTGAGTAGCTAGCATTACAAGTGAGAACCACCAGTGCCCAGCTCCTCTCCATCTTTTCTTGTACCTCACAGGAGCTGATGTGAGAATACAGAATAGAGAAAGTAGGATAGAACCCAGGATTCCAGTCTCCCAGCCCAGAACTCTAACCCAAGCAAAATGTCCTTAGAGCTCCAGTTGCCTTCCTTTCTGCACCTGCAGCTTCTGCCTGACTCCATCTCCACTCTACTGGCCTGTAATAAATCCAAGGCTGAAATCACATGCCAAGAATCTGCTCCTGACCTCCCCTGCCCAAATATTTGAGAAGTCACCTCACCCGCCACAGGAGGAAGGAGCAGAAAAGAAGAGAGATTGGACACCCAAAATTAGCCTGGCTATAAATAGTGGGGCAAGGGAGGGCGGGGAACAAACAGAGCACTAGACCAGCCTAGTAAATTTAGACAAGTAGATTTTCCCCAAAGAAGAGCTGCCGGGTGCTGGTGGCTCACACCTATACTACTAACTACTTTGGAGACTGAGATCTGAGGATCACAGCCTGAAGCCAGAGACAGTCCAGGCAAAAAACTTGTGAGGTTCTTATCTCCAACTAACCATCAAAAAGCAGAAGTGGAGGGGCTGGGAAGGTGGCTCAGCAGTAGAGTGCTTGCCTTGCATGCCTGAGGCCCTGGGTTCAATTCCTCAGCACCACATAAGCAAAAAGAAAAAAGCCACAAGTGGGGCTGTGGCTCAAGTGGTAGAGCACTAGCCTTGAGCAAAAAATCTAAGGGAGAGTATCCAAGCCCTGAGTTCAAACCCCAGGACCAGTACAAATAAATAAAGGCTCAGAGACAGCACCCAGGCCCCCCAAAAAATTATTCTGCTCTCATTACATTATCAAAATGAAAAAACTATAGAGATGAAAGACAAATTAGTGATTGCCATGGGATAAAGAGAAGGTGGTTAGCACAAATAGAGAAACTGCAGAAGGGAGCTCCTTCATGATAATGAGTTCAATGTACTAATTATGGTGATGAGAATTTGGATCTATACATGGAATAAACTACATAGTACTACACACACACAAATGATGTGTGGTGAAAGTGAATAAAACCTGTGAACTAGTCAATAGGACTGTTAATAATGTACACTTCCTAGGTTTTTGTTTTTGTTTCTGTTCATTTTTGTTTTGTTTTGTGGGCTGTGGGGCTTGAACTCTGGGCCTGGCCACTGTCCCTGAGCTCTTCAGCTTAAGGCTAGCGCTCTACCACTTGAGCCACGGTGCCACTTCTGGTTTTCTGAAGGTTAATTGGAGATAAGAGTCCCACGGACATGGGCTAGGAAGGTGGCTCAGTGGTAGAGCGCTTGCCTTGCATGCATGAGGCCCTGGGTTCGATTCCTCAGCACCACATAAGCAAAAAGAAAAAAGCCGGAAGTGGCGCTGTGGCTCAAGTGGTAGAGCGCTAGCCTTGAGCTGAAGAGCTGAGGGACAGCGCCCAGGCCCAGAGTTCAGGCCCCACGACTGGACCCAAAAAATAATAATAAATAAAATTTAAAAAAATTAAAAAATAAAAAAGAGTCCCATGGACTTTCCTGCCCAGGCTGGCTTTAAAGCATGATCCTCAGATCTCAGCCTCCTGAGTAGCTAGGATTACAGGTGTGAGCCACTGGCACTCAGCCTTCTGGGGGTTTTTTAATTATTTTTTCTTTTTTTGTTGTGAAAATGCCTTACAAAGGAGTTACAATTACATGGGCAAGATAATGAGAATTAATTTTCTTTATTGTTATAAAGGTGACGTACAGAGGGATTACAATATTGCATGAGTCTAGTAATGACATTTCCTTTTACTTTCTGGTTTTTCATATTTATGTATATGATGTCACCATTCTAGGAAGCTGACTAAAGCAGATATAGATTCTGTGTACTACTTTTACAACTTTTTTTTTTGTCAGTCATAGGGGCTGAACTCTGGGCCTGGGTGCTGTCCCTCAGCTCTTCAGCTCAAGGCTGCGCCCTACTACTTGAGCCACAGCACCACTTCCAGCTTTTTTTTCTGTTTATGTGGTGCTGAGGAATAGAACCCAGCACCTCATGCATGGG